GAGAGAGAGAGAGAGTTAAGTTTCTATCGATTTAACTAGAAGTAAATTATCGGTGAGTGCATGTTTAATTTCTGTCCATTTCAGCGGGAAGTAAATTTTGTCACAGGATTGGTTTTGACACCATCGAGGAGTACATCTCAGAGCCAGAACTACTACTCAACTGTCCACAAGGATCCAACAAGGAAGAGATTCTCAAAGAAAGAGTGGGAGGAGTTCACGAGGGAATCAACCCGAGAAGCCATACGCGAATTGGCATCATCTCCTGAGTTCACAGAATGGATGATCGAGCACTCTGATCACATACACCTGGTGCCAGAGGCCACCTCAGATGAGACCACTTTAAGTGAGTCAGATTCCAGTGATGAGACCTGTGAAGAAAGTTGTGGGATTAGCCTTTCAAAGTGGTGGTCATAGAAACCAGGAGTGGGTTTTGATGCTTTTCTAATCTCTTCATTGGCAATTAAAGAGAGTGGGTCTGTAAAGGGGTGCTTAATGAATCACACACACACACAGACTTTGTTTTTCTTTGTTTGTTTTTTCCCTTTCTTTTTAATTTACTATAGGCGAATATGACAGTTTTTGTATATGGAGGCACTGGTTGTTAGTGAGGTGCACACGAAGTAAGAGACCAGTTGATTCAGTAAATTGAGATCCTGGGGAAAGGGTGCTACTTTTCCAGAAATGGTCTGTTATTTGGATCAGCAAGACGGCATCTTGGCCAGCGGTAACACAGCTTTTGTTCTTCAAATTTTGGTTGCTATATGGTCATCATTCTGAGATGATGATGCAACAAATTGTGGGGGCAGGGGGGGGAAGCTGGGACTTGCTACTATTTTGTTTGCTAATGCATAGTCAGTCAAGAAAGCCACATCTTTTTCTAATGCTACAGTTTGGCGGTCTAGACTACCAGATTTTATTTTTGTTTCCTTACTTCATGATTTAGCACGAGTGCCCTATTGTAGGGTCAGATTTTATTTTTGTTTTTTTGCTTCATGATTTAGCATAAGTGCCCTATTGTAGGGTTATAACGATATTATCTGTATTTTCTCCATTTTAATTAATGAAAATGGATAGAGTGCCTTCTCCCCCATTGATTTACCCCAAAAAAAACGTGCAGTCCTTGTATATACTTCTGCGCAAGCTTCTCACTATACATGGAGAAAGAGCAGCAAACACCCATGTACTCTCGATGCTTTCAGGTTGTCCATGAAATACAAGTGCTTAGGTCACATTTATTTTACAGGAAATTGAAATACGCATCATTAGTTAATCTATTTCTAATCTTTTTCCTTTTCTTTTAGGACCTGATTTTACAAGAGTAGCAATATTATTAGTTACTAGGGCTGCCAATTGTGCCAGATTGGCCCACGAATTTCTGAAGTTGGGAAAGTGAGAGGATTTAGGAATGGAGAAAGTTTATATAAGGTTGCAACTTTAAAATGTAGAATTAAATATGCACTACAAAAATCTATCGGAAAAAGGTTGTTTTAATGTTGAAAAACACTCTATTTGATCATCTCAACATGGGGATGTATGAATTTGAAAAAGAAAAAAAGATATTAAGTCTTAAAAATAGTGCATCTTGCAACAAATTATCTAGATTAGATCTACTTGATTTTAACCATTTTTAGATATAATTAGAGATAAAAATAGATTTTTAGACAATCCTAAGAAATTGACACCAAAATTACACGTTAGGATAAAATTTGGAAGTACGCCTTTAATGTTGCAACCTCATAAAAACCTCATCTTGCTCTTTACATGTTCTTATTTATTACCATTAGGGGCTGTTTGGATACCTGGATTGTTTAAGGTTGCAACCTTATAGAAACTGCATCCTGCTCTTTACATATTTTGATTTATTACCATTAGGGGCCGTTTGGATACTTGGAAATATATTGTCTGTGAAATATGTTATGGGCATAATACATTACCTGCAAATGGATTGTCAGTATTTAGATGCAACTTGAGAAATATATTGCTACTATTTGGCTATGTTTGGAAGAAATATGAAAAATACATTACCATCCAAATATGAAAAATAGGGCTATGTTTGGCTAACATGATTAGTCATTGGAATAATATAATTGAAATAACATAATTTTATTGTAATAAGCCTTATTTTTAGTTATTTATTATAGAAGTCTTTCAAATGTCTCTCTATATATCATTTCAAATAAGCAATAAATTCATGACACCAAAATCAAAATCTTTATGGTACAAGTTAAAAAATGGGAAAAAGTTTGATTAGTAAACTACAAAGTTTGATAATTGCAATAGAAAATTTTGAAGCATTGAAGGAGACTAAAGAGGTATCTTATTTCAATTGAGCTTTTACTAATCTTTTATGAGAATGAAATTTTTTATTAAGATTGTGTTATGTGATTTCTCATCGATTACCGATTATTATTTTTATTATTTACGTTTTTATACGATACCTGATGGCCGGCTACAACTCAAATTGGGGATAGAGGGATATAGAAATTTTTTTATTATGATTGCAGTAGAAAATTGTCCTCATCAAGTTCTACAACTGTTTAAATCAATTTAAATTTCTCCCTACTTTCATTTATCAATTATTAAAATTGGGGATAAAGGGATGTAGAAATTTTTTATTATGATTGCAGTAGAAAATTGCCCTCATCAAGTGGGAATAATATTAAAATTGGGGATAAAGGGATGTATAAATTTTTTATTATGATTGCAGTAGAAAATTGTCCCGCATCAAGCGGGGATAGGGCAGAGAGACACACACCGAACTATTTACAAAGATTACCTATAAACCTCGTAATAGATTTTTCATTCCTCACTGTGTTCACCGCGTTTAATGGATTTTGTGATTTTTGTGGAAATCTTGGATGATCTCGAGTGATGTCTTTCCATTTCCTTACTATCAAATTATACCCAAACAAATGTAAATCTCATATTTCTTTATAATCTATTGCCACGTAATAGATTTTCATGTCACCAAACCACCCCTTAAGGAAAGAAATTGTTACAAGTAAAGTTGCAATAATCTCCACTATCCATTTTACTTGGACCATGTAGATTTGACATCATTTTAAAAATACAGCACATATAAGCACCAACATAAAAACTTTGTAAAATTTATATTGCCTAACTAAACTATATGGTTTAGAATATTGCAACCTTACTTCTATAAAAAAAAAGTTGGTTGCCTCGTGTAAATTGCAAGTGGCATACAAATGTATCCGTAGCTGTAGAGATAAAGTGCACCTTCAAATTTTATCATGATATATAATTTTGATGTAAAATGTTCTTAGGATTTTCTCAAAGTCTATTTTCATATTTAATTATAAAATTTTAAATTTTAAAAATGATTAAAATCAAGTAGATCTATAAACATATGAAAATCTTGAAAATGGATGCTGTAGATAATATGTTGTAAAATGCACTATTTCTGAGACTGAAAATCTTTTTTTTTTTCATGGTCATACATCTCGATGTCGAGATGATCAATCAAAGGGTTTTTGAACATAGGTGCATCCATAGTTCTACATTATAAGGTTGTATCCTTCTATAAACTTTTTTTCTTATATAATATATACGTTTGAAGGAGGGATGTGCAAGGACTCTTGTTATGGGAGGGGAGAGGTGGGAACTGGGAGCCCAAGAAATTTCTATATACTTTGTGATTAGTGGAGATTCCTTTTGATTTTTTGGCCCTTACATCTTATAATTTGCATAGAGGCAGTACACTACAAAGCCATTAATATTTGGTACAATCAGGTCAATTATCTACAGGTGCGGTTTGCATAGAGCCTAGGTTCTATGCAATCAAATTAGAGCCTATGCGTTACAGAATACACAATTTTTAAAATGTGAAATCTATTTTTCTCTCATTTCCATAAATTATCGAGATGATCAATTTGAGAACATTTGGGCATCAAAACAAGCTTTTCTAAAGAAATTTTTGTGATAGGTTCCAATTTGATTGTTTAGAGCCTCGGCTCAATATTCACTTTTCCCATTACTTATAATCATCAAAATTGAACTTTGACAGCTCAGCTTATAATTTGCGTGTAGATGCAATAGTACACTATGAGGTCATTTATATTTAGTACAAGGATGTCATTCATCTATAACCGTAAAAAATGAATCCTGGCCGCTTAGAATGTGCCACAAAGTTCAGCTGAAATGAACTGGGAACTACCTGCATACCCTTTTTAGATAATTTCCTAGCACTTAATTCAGATAACTTTGATCCATGGTCTTAGTTAAGATTAATCTTCGAGTCCAAAAATTCCTCAATTCGCCCTACCCTGCCCTTGATTGTTAAAAGTCAAGAGGAAAATTGTTTCTTGCAGGCTGTACTGCATGACTGCATATGCGGTTCAAAAAGTGTAAAGCATTCATCTTAAAGATGGAAAGGTGTTCCATCTAAAATCATGTAAACTAACGGTTCAAATGTTTTTTTACCAGAATTATTATTTTTAATTAATTTACTTATTTTTTCATATTCATGATCTCCATGTTAGATATTACATGTCATTAAAAACTAAGTCAAAACATCCATCTTAAAAATAGATTTATTAATAGACACGCATATGAGGGCTTGGCCCATAGAAACCGGGTCAAGTTTAAAACTTTGGAATTGTATCCGAAAGCAACTAAGTTGTATATACCAAGAATTAGAAGCATGAGACTTTGTATTATGCCCTGTGGCCTACCACATCCGAGATGCTAGCCGGGTAACTTAATGGCTGAAATGTGGCCCCAGCATTTATTTATTGAAGTCGATCAAATTGCCATGTAAACTTACAAGAGAGATTATTGCTCAAATGGCGGCCATTTTACAATTTGTATGTTTTGAGAGAGAGAGAGAGAGAGATTGGGGTCGGTTATATAACCAACAAACGAGAAAACCGACTGAAGTGAAATTATCCAAAGTTCCTTTATTCTAGACCATAGTTTAGCCAGTCTATTCTTAAAACAAGATTTTTTTTTAAAAAAAAAAATCTACTTTTTTTAATAAGACCTCCGAGTTTAGGTTTTCAAATATCTTTAAAATTTTATTTTTAATGGAACCGATATAAATATATATTTTATCTTTTCTTAAAAACTCTTTTCAAAAAAGAAAAAAGAAAGCTGTAACCGTATTATCTCTTCATGGATTTCATATCTGTGAATTTTAGGTTAAAAATAAGCACATAAAAAGTGGAAGTGTTGAATCTTGATTTAACCAATATATTCCTTTAAAAGAAGTGCAATATATTCTCCCAAAAATAATATTTCAAAGGAACCATTTATCTCAAAATAATAGTTAGAAGAAGAGTAACCCAATAAAAAATCTTTTTTTCCTCTAAACACAAAACATCTTTATAAAGAGGAAATGAGAAATACAATGACAACGAAAGAACTAGACAAAGAACAAGAGAGAAATACAGTGACAACTAAAGAACTAGACAACTAGAAATTCAACGTGAGCTTTGAATATTTGAATTTATTTAAGCATTTTGTTACATTATTTATGCATACAAAAGTTTGATTAATTTCACCTTTTCATTTGTTTTATTTCATTAGTACATACAACAAAATAATTTAGATAGACCACTATTTACATTTTTGAGGTTTTGTGCTTTAGTTAACTACAATCCCATATTAAAGGTCATTCTTGGTTTTCCTTCCCCTGATAATATTATATACGTTGGCTTCCATTCTTATTGTTTGCTAACGTAGTTCTTATGTTAATATTGTTCATTGTTGATACATTGAATATTCCCAATAAAGCAATCATATGTTTTATGTTGTGACAACAAAATAAACATTTTTACTATAGCTGTTGAAAGTTAAGACAAGTTTGTCAAGTATAACTCTAATGATACCCGGTAAGGAAATAAAAATTTATTTCAATGGTTCTAATGTATTCATATAAGAGAAATCTTTCTATGTTCCCCATACAACATAGAAGTTCTATCCTCTCCCTAACATCCAACCGTCCATTTTTTATCAAGAGAGCCACTCACCATTTGATCTTAAATTCGACGTCTCAAAATATTTTATTTTTAATTTTTTTAATATAAATTTTCTAAATATGAAATTTAGTACGTGTCATCTTCTCATTGGGACGCACCTATAAAAAATATTAACCATAATTTTTCAATAAAAAATAATAACCAAAATACCCCTTGAAACTTTCGAAAGTATTTTAATCATTTTATTTTATTGAAAATATTTTTTTTATATTATTCGTTAGTGTGAGTTTAATAGAGGAATTGGCATCCAAAATTTGGTGTCACAATAATTTATAGAAAAAAATAAAAATAAAACAGTGTAGAGACATGACATTGTGATTGGAACAATCTTAACCCTCCATTAAAAAATGAAGGGTTGGATAAAAATAAAAATAAAACTTTTGTGCTGTAGGGAGAACATAAAAAGCTTTCCCTTCATACAATAACCCCAACTCATAATCACATACAATTTTTACATATCTGAATTTTTTTCACTCTTTGGTTTTGAGCCAAATTCAAAATATTCATTATTCACTACCTTAACTAATTTTTGACGATCCATATTTTTTATTTTTTTTGCCTTTGTACCCAAACCAAACCAATTTATCGTACATGTTTTGGTTTGCCAATGTATTATTATTCCTCGATTAGTTTTGATGTTTACGAGAAACTCTAAGAACACCCAATCTGCATTGGACAACAAGATAAAGCCAGCCAAACGGAGAATAACAATCCATGCACATGGAGACACATGTGCTCTATTATTTATACGTTGAAACACGAAAGAAACACCACCTTTATCTAATACTTAAAAAATTTAAGTCTTAATATTATTTCTTGAAATCTCAATATAAAAGTATTTAATATCACCCTACTCTTAATACCTGATTTTTTATCAATATAAATGTACTTAATGTCACCATACGCTTGATACCAGATTTTTTACACTTATATCTTGCTTACAAAGAAAACAAGAAAAGCCAATTTATTCCAAAAAACATTTTCTCATTGAAATTAAAATCCAGAACGCATATAGCTTGATAACAAATTGAGGACCCTTTTGGTCTCTCCACCCAAGTCTCAATTACTTACAAGGATCCCCACAAAGGGGTGAGAGCTGCACAGCTATGTACACAGTGACACACTCAAACCAGTAGTTGGACTTCAATCCCAGTGCAAGCCCCACATTGCCAACTATACAGAAAAAAATATACCGCTAAACCCCACTATAGATCTCTCCATGTGTGGCCCGATTAAATGCATTGAAACTATTGTATAAAATCGATAACAAGTTAAATTCTATGTACTAGGGGTGAAGCCTCCAAGGCTAAAAGAATATGTGCACCTGTAGAATATACAAGATAGTCCTCTGTTCATCCAATCCGTCGTTATTTTCTCGCACGAGATCTTGTTGCATGGCTAGTTGATCTAGCCTTCTTCTGAAGAAAAGAAAAGAATACCAAGTTTGCACTTTAAATTGAAATCCAAAACTAAATACCACAATAGTGACTACTATCTTTCTCCGAATACTAGAGAAGGCCAGAGAAAATCACTCTGCCATATTTCCAAAAGAAAAATAAAATCTTGCAAAAATATCATTGAGCACTAATGCAAATGATATTTTGTAATATCGCAAGAGACCAATAACCCCTTCCTTTTTTTTCCTGCAATTTTTGGGAAAACATTACACACTAGTCTACAGATAAGTCACATAAATAAAAACTGTTAAAATTCAAGAGAATACGACTTTATAGAAATTTAAATTTAGACAAAAGATAAAAATAACAATAAAAAACACTTGTTCTTGTTTTCGAAAAATTTTCAGTGAGTCCAACAACTTATGTGTCTGCCCTGGTTTTCAAAGGTTCTTGGATCCAAAACACATCCCAAATCACTGAAAATCCATTTCGGCCTCAAATCCATGATGTGGAGCTCCAAAACGGGTGTAGATTTGATAATCTTTCAATAATTGAAATGATCAATCCAAGAAAAGGGCACAAGTTCAACCAGTTTTAATGGCTTGGTGGTCAAGACAATAGACCTGTCAAGTTTTCAATCCCCAATCCATCGCCAAGACGGACCTGGAGGAGCGGATGGGTGCATCTAAACCCCACCCTTTCAAATTTTTTGTCCTCACTCTTTTAAAGTATTCTTTTCGTATCTTTTTCTTGAGATTTCTAGGGAATATCTCAAGAAAACCTAAACTTGAAAATCTCCCAAGAAATTACCTAGCGAAGAAACTCTCTAGAACATGTTCTTACACAACCCACCAAAGACACAAGGCATACCTTCAAAAAGAAAACAGAGCCCTTCTTCAACATCATCCCTTCTACCAAGCTCATCATCTTTGCCACACGCTTCACCGATCAGGCTATCATCTTTATTTGCAAAGCCATCATTTCGTTCTTCTGATATAGCAGCACTCGGCTGATCATCCTCGCCTGGCAAGGATGGCTTCTCGGCATTAAAGATCAGCTCAATGGTGTTTGTGTCATGGCCATTCAATTTAGGAAAATGTTGGATTGGAGAAGCAGAAGCAAACGAGAGATGGGATCTCTGCATCTCTTGCACCTCAGAATCTGTACACGTCATTGATAGAAAGGTGGATTTTTCATGGGCCTGCAAGGAAGGAAGGGATTTTTCTTGATGGTTGTTAGATCCAGAATTCAAGGCCTCTGAAGATACGTGCTTATGGGCTAATGGACTTAAAACAACTTCGTTGAATACACGGTCTTCTGAATCTGCATTCCAAAGAGTGGAATAAATGAAGAAGCAATAATAGTAGAGGAAAATACAATATAAGCTTTTCATGGAAAAGCAGTAGGTTAGGACTTAGGGTTCGTGAATTGGAAGGTTTAATAATGTCCAATGGGCTTCATAAAAAGACAATCTATTGGATCATGACCATCCAATGAAATGATGGACGGTGATGGATAATGAGAGGGACTGCCTAGTGGGGTTGTGTCCTTCCTTGTGGCACTCACTCTCTCCATTGGATGGTTATGATCACAATGGTTGGTTTTTTTTACCAGTCTATAGGAGCATACTCTCTTGTGCATTCACCTGGAAGGCATGGGCGGTTCTCATTTGTAAATCCCCTCTGCCAATCAGGGGTTTGCTTTGAACTGGACCTACATCCAAAACCGTTGCATTGTCCAGTCTGAGCATCCGAAACCTTACAAAATTTTCCATCTTCTTGATTTTTGGAAGGTTTGCGAACTAGGACAGAAGGCCTGCAAATATTACAAGTTTTCAAGATGTTTGTGAAGACAAATTGGAAATATACACGACTGTTTAACAAGTCAAGCTGAAAGCAAAAGAAATCTTTAAAAACCCACATTACGAAAGACAAACCTAGCAAGAAACCATAGGCACATCTCTATAATGAGCAAATAAACACCAGAAAGCAAGCCATGAAAATGTCAAACATCAGCATTACAAAGTAAAATAGCAGACAGAAGGAACAAAGGAAAAAAAGCGAGTTGAAGGTAGACTAACAAGGTAGAAATTAATCGAGGGTAGATATACAATGAAGAGTAATGATCCTATAAGACCCTCTCACACCCATGTGTGTAGGACCCCAAATGATCACCATTAAATTTGGCACAGATCTCTAAAAAAGTTACCACATGGGTGTGGGACTTGACTTTTCCAGAGATCTGTGTCAAATTTAATGGTGATCCTTTAGGGTCCTACACACATGGGTGTGAGAGGATCGCATAGGATCATTACTCTACAATGAATGAAGCAAATAACTTGTCTATTTCTCATCTATACACCCTTCTCTAGCCAAAAGATCAGCATCCTCATGAGAAGGGGATTTGACATGGGTCTTGCACAAATTAAACCATAACCTTCAAAATTCTCCATGATGCTGCTCTCTCTCCTCTAACCCATCTCATGATACTGAATGAATCAACTGCGCCAACGACTATCAGAGGTTCACAAAGAATACAGTGAAACTCCAATAATTGGGGCTCCGACTTCTGCTTTGGTAGAACCACAAATGTCTATTGATTCCTTCATCAACAATAGCTACCCAAGATCAAGATCCTAACAAACAACATAGTTATCAATTTTCCCACCCTTAAATTTTCTTCCAAAGAATGGCCGGTGCATCTGCCTTGAACTCAGAGGTAAGCTGACAGGCATTCTCCCCACATCACACATCATTCTAAGACATGCCAATACCCTTTCCTAACTCTAGATCCAATATTGCTGGATGGCCAACTCACACCCCTGCCCTTTCCACCTCATAGACATCCTACGGACTCCAAAACCAGATGGCAATTCCAGACCCCTTCACAACGATCAACTCTCCATCACCTCCAGTTTCCTCTCTGGTTTTCAAGGGGCTTCCTTTCCATGATATCAAGTTGCTAACCTCAGAAATATTAGAGACAGAGAAAGCATGTCTAGACACAAGTGCCTTTCAGGCATGTTCAAAGGGAAGCCAATAGGTTCACGAATACCCTCAATACCTTCTATCTTTTTTACTGAGTGGTCTTTGGGTTATCGAGGACTTCTTTCCAGACATAGGATTCAACCCTTAAGTTTCCAAAATTGTATTTATAACTTGTCCGGTGTCTTCCCTCCCCTTGTGAAGTTTTTGCTAATAAATTGATGATAATATCAAAATTAATAATAGAAGGAAGAGCAACAACAGGTGCAAGAGAGAGAGGAATGGTGAGCACCAACTAAAAAGTTGGAAGAGGCCACAAGCACCTCCAGGCACACCACAGACATAGAATTGAACAACATGATCAGAAATAATTTAGGAACGACAATGTACCTTGAAGGCAGGATTTCATGATTCCGGAACTGGTCACCTTTCCCATGCAAAATAGGGCGCGTTGGGATTATTTCAATTTCAATGTCCCCATCATGAATGCCATCAAGTTCCTCAGCAATGTAATCGATAACCATCGCTTGGAAAGATATCTACATAAAAGTTAGTGCCATCATACTCAACCGAAAAAAAATAAGAAAAAAAAATGAAATTTCTTTTCCCAATTTTATGGACATGTTTTCTGACTGCAGCAATACCTTGGGTTTGTCCCACACAGGGACTCCTGCTTGGTGTGTTTGTAGTTCAGCATTGGAAACATAACACTCATACTTTGCTTGAGATGAGACCTTTCGTTCCATAACTCTAAGACCAGAATCAGCATAAGATATATAGTCAGGGCTGGGCTTGAGACCAATAGCTCGATGCTCATCATAGATGGCAATATCCTCTTCTCGTTCAATTCTATGTTCCCTTTGACAAACATCCCATTTATGGAGCTTATTTATAACTAGTCTTAAATCCAGATCATCTTTTGGCTCATTGGAAGCACCGCTAAAGCCAGAAAGATTGGTGCGTGGATGCAAATCTTGTGCCCCAGAAGATAGGTGGAAACCATATTGTGTGACGTATCCACAAGGAGTAAAAATCAAAATGTAGGGATTTAAAGTAACCGAACTTTCATCTGATTGGTGAGCTTTAGGGCTGTGGGTGAGGAAAGCTGAAGCAACTACCAAAGACGGTAAACTAACCCTACTTGTTGCAGCAAGCACAGCATCACCAAGGGGGCCACTCCAACCATTGTTCTGATCCTTTATCCTTCCTACAACTGATAATGTCAATGGCGGACCAGATGCAAACTTCTGCTGATCAAGTTCCAATGGACCCACACTACTTGCTTGAGAAAATGATTTATTTTTTGTAACTTCCATTCCATTAATAATACCATGAGATTGCAGTCTTGGCATCCCGCCATAAGGTGATATTGCAAACAAGTGACCTGTTCCCCTTGAAGAGCTGATCATAATCCAGCAGCTGTCATCACTAAAACTGATGTCTTGTATGACCTGTAGAACACATGAACAAGCATATTGACGCAAGTGAGCTTTCTACAGTAATTTCTGATCTCGCATTACAGAAGTAGTGGAATAAATATTCATGTACCGCATTTGTAAGCCCACGCTGGAGCTTGTAAAGATGCACATAGGGCAAATGTGGGTCAACACCTGAAGAGCCATGCTGGTCAGGCATAATTCGGAAAACATTAATGTTATGACCTTGAATTGAAGCTGTCACCAATAGTGTTCCACTGCGGTCAAAGCATAAGGCAGAGATAGGACTATCATGGGCCTTAAACTGAGTAACAACAGATTTACGAATAATGTCTCTTACAATAACCTGAAAAATAAAAGATGAAAACTTAGGAGAAAAACAAAAAGAAAAAAGCATATAGATATATACAAAAAAAACAAAAAGAAAATACAGAAGCCCCCAAATGAACAAAGCTCCATGCTTTTAGGGAACGCAGCTTACTGTTCCTGCATGCTCCGCCTGATTTGCATCCTCAATACCATAGTGCCCATTTTTTGGGGTCTGCCTCCCCACTCGCATAGATCTGTTATTATCTGGAAGAAATTCACCCCAGTATTTAGTCAGCTTCTTGCACCCCTTATCGCCAAGGGCCGCAAGACCCGAAGCAATCTGCTTGCTCGATTCTTTGGCATAGTGTGCAACTGAAGACCCAACTGAAGAGGTCGATGAACTGTCATTGCAGGTCAAGCACACGGGGCTCACACGGCCAGTATTTGAAACTGGAACAGGAATTCCAGCATAAGCAAACCACCTTGGACCAACAGCTAATGGACCGTAGCCCATGTCCAAGTGCCCACTGCCACCACATCCTAATGATGCAGGATAAGTCATGACAGTGTACGTGCTCTGGAGCGTTGCAGTGTCGAAACAGTGAATCTGAAATAACCCATTTTCGTAAGCAATTGTCCATATTTTTTTTCAATTTTCTTATCAATATGAGTCATATTCTAATTATACAATACAAATGATGCACCCATATATCAATTTTTTGCAAGTTAAAGTACCTGAATCGCCTGGGCAACAGCCACAATCCGAGGACTACAACGTACAGCACATATAGCAGATCTAAATTTAAGTTCATGCACATAAGAATGTGATTTTAACGAGTAGAACTTGAGAATTGAGGGCGAGAAGTTCCTACTGTTCCCATCAGAAGCTTGGGAGTACCCCATCTCATCATGACTCTTAGGATCTCGATCTCCAGTTCCAACAAGAGCTAGAATTGGACGAACAGATTCATAGTTATCCTTTGATCCCAATGATACAATGGGTTTTGGTACCACTTGCAAAAAAGCAGCAGGGCCATCTTGCTTGGATACCAACTGCACCACATCATTACTGTCTTCTATTTTCCAGACTTGGAAGCCATCAGTATAACCCAAAAGAAGAACCTGGTGAACAATGCTGTCTTCACATTCTAGTTTGTCAAACCCTGCCCATTGCACCTTTAGAGGTTGAAAAATATAGTATCAGAGAAGAATCACATGATATGTCATGTCTCATCTTTAAACAAAAAAAGGAAGTGGATCTGTATCATACAACACAAATTGATATTGACAACAGAAGAGCAAGCAGTAGTCACTCATTTAGACAAAATTATACTAGAAAGAAGAAGGACGTCCAATCAATGATAAGGTAACGGTGCAGGTGAAGGCATGATTCCGAAAGCAATGATCATACCTCATATTTTGAAGTGGAACAATCAGAAAGTGCACAAACATACACTTGCAATAAATTTAGAACTCACAAAATGTTGATCTCACTTCTGCCATTGGCACTACATGATACTTCACTAGCAAGCACATACCTCTCGACAAGTTTTTAAACGAGTATAGCATCCTCATGTATGAAACTCCCAAACATTTTTAAATCAATTTCTCCATGTAAAAGCATTAGAAATAGTATCATCATAGCAAATATCAAACATCTTTTCTGAAATAATTATACAAATTTAGCACTTTCAAATACAACAATTTTTTTTATAGGTATGAATTTCTCAATTACTACATTTTTAAGACAATAAATGCACCTTTCCACCAGAAATACTCAAACCTTGCCTAAGACCTCAAAAAGACCAAATAACCACAGAACGGTAGCTCCCACAAAAAATCAATCCGTATGGGAAATTGACAAGGAGAGGAAGCAACAACAACTAGAAAGACTCCTTTATGTAATTAGAGAAACATGCATACCACTATTTTTGGACTTCAAAGCATCCAACGTATTAAACACACAGAAATATATATGGGGGATCATCTAACATTTAACAAACCCAAAACTCCTTGGATTGAAATTTACAAGCTCAAGTAAGTTAAGCTCTCTCAAAAATTCAAATAAATACTCCTTATATGAAACAAACTTTTTTCCAGAGGACATACAATCAAGCTAAAGTTATTTATGGAAGTGATTAAAGAATTCACAGCAAGCGAGATGAACTTTGTTAGGACAATCTCATGTATGAATACAATACAAACTTAAATTTGTTTCATGTCAGCAATGAACCATGTCGGTTAATGTTGACATAGTATCACCCAATAAATGGGTATCTAGCATGATTTTTCATCGTCATCATCATTGGATCCATTTCCCAACTCTGCAATCGTAATTTTTCATGACCCCTTAAAATGATGAAGTTGCCTCCAAAAAAGTACATAATAAACAGTTAGGATTTCTTTTTCATTTTGAAGGAGCTGGAGTCTGGTAGTGGGTTGTTCTTAGAAAAATGAATAAATGGACACAAAGAGAAATACATAGACATAAACACACACATCTATGCTCATATGCACAACCAATACAAAGAAATGGTTTTCTACATATTATTAAGTAAGACATTAACAGAGACATATTTTTTCTTTTGTAGATGATGATATGGACAAATATTTCCGCTCAAAGACGATACTGGAACTCATAGGCAGAAATTCCAAAATCTTCAATGGAAGTTGAGCATTGTCAACAGACATTGCCGCTCATGTGCATGCCAAAACTAAGGAAAAAGACTGAAATCTGGGAAACACCTCAAGCTTATACCTTTCTAAGCATCAGCATTATGGGAAGGTAGGACAGAGGTAGCAACTTAAAATATGTAGTCTAATTAACTCCCAATTAAATGAACCAATATAAGGGATCATATATGAAGTCATTGACAAAACTAAATATACATTGGAAAGTACAAACTTGTAATCATCTAGCATGGATACAAATAAAGCCCTGTTACTCAGGCACAAGAAAAACAGGCATCACACTTAGTTCCAATCACATAGATATATCCAAAAAACCCAAATATATATTACAACAACTCATACAAACTTCGCTGCATCCTCGCATTCAAACTGACACACAGTGTACATAAGGGAATATAACAAACGGGGACATAGAAATTTCACCTGATCGCGAAGGCTAGTGTTCTCCCATCGAGGCAACGAAGAAGTAACCGATGCCCCTGCTGACTTAACAGTAGAAGCAACACAAGAAGCCCCTGAAGAGACATATCTCCAATACCCTTTGATCGATCCTAGAGAACCAGGTAAAAAGCCATTAGCCAGGGGTATTTTTGAAGCACCTCGATTTAACTTCAGTCTGCTGTTCTTCATCCCAATTGCAACCAGGAATCCCTAAAATTTTTATGTTCTTCACCATAACCAGGCTGTTTCTTTCAGCCCCAGAAACAGCCCTGGAGTATTGTATTATGAGATGGGGTTTTCCATCTTCATTTCCTCCATGACTCCAAAATATGACCAGGAAACCCTAAAATGAAACGACAAGTTATGATATATTTTTTAATGGGAATCCACAAAGAGGAAATCCTCTCCTCTGTAAATACCACCACAAACTGAACTTTTAAAGGAAAATGTTTTAAACCATTATCATGCTACATTAGAGTCCATGAATGAATCGTAAATATCAATTCATTCCCAAACGATGAAATACAGCCATTTTAATGGACATAACCTCCTGATATAAGTCAAAACTCCTCAATTCAAAACTCTGATATGATCAAAGTCAAGAACCAAATATGTACACAATTACCAATCAAGTCAGATAAGTCGACGTTAGACAACCAGGAACCAGAGCAAACGATCAGAATTAGGGTTTTTTTTCTCTACTAGTCCGCCATAAAGCTCAACTATGAACCTTTTCCAACGCTTAAACAAGCCAAGGCCTTACAAGCCTACAAGCAAAAGGAGTCCTGCAAGTGGTCCTGTAATCATAAAAATTAGGGCTTTTTGACTTTCATCCAGCCATCAAAACCTATCTACCCTAGATTTCGAGCTCTCTGCAACTTTCAGCTGCGATAATCATAAAATTAATGGAAAGCTTTCGGGTAGGGAAAGGGATTAGACCCAAAAGAGAAATCCCGCAAATATATGTTATCTTAGAGAGAGAATGGAACCTAGAGAGAGAAAGGAACTTATCTGTGCACGTACATGTACAACTAACAAATCCCACACTTTATAGCTAATCCCATTTATCAACAGAAATTCTTAATTGAACCCTCATTACTGATTTTTCCACCCAAAATATGAGTAATAGCGCTTTTTTTCTTTTCTTTTTTTTCTTTAAAAAAAAAAAGAATATATATAAGGTCCCAATTTTAAAATGTAGAATTATAAATGTATCATAAAAATCCATCAGAAAATATTATTTTAATATTAAAAAATCTTCTAACTAATCATTTCGACATCGAGATGTATAAATGTGAAAAAAAAATATTTCGAGTCCTATAAATAATTTATCTCTAAATCGTTCATTTTCAAAATTTTCATATGTTTATAGATCTACTTGATTTTAACTATTTTTTTAGTTTGAAATTTTATGATTAGATATGAAAATAAAATTTTAAATAGTCTTAATAATTTTTTACATTAAAATTACATGTTATGATAAAATTTGAAAGTACACCTTAATTGGATTTTTTAAGATTGCAATCTTATAGAAATTACACCTTTTTTTTTTTGGTTTTGTTAGGGTGTATGCCTTTGAAATCTTCGACATTTTTTGACATTTAAATACCTATATCTTATAGTGCGGTAACTTTTTGTCTAAGGTTATTTTAAGTAATTACACAAAGGTAAAATATAAATTCTTCACAAAAACAAAAGCATTTCTTTAACAATAGTGAACAATGGCATTACCGACATAATGTGTGAAACCACTTTCAAAATGCTTTAATTGTTTTTTAATTACTAATAGAATGATATTATTTTTATAAAAAATCCATTCTACTTTTTTAACTCAACAAAAATGCCCCTACTTTGAAAATATTGTATTACAATTCAATAATATTTAAGTATCTAAAAATATTAAGAACTTTAAAAGGTATACCAAATGATGTAGCCTACCAAAGAAAACCTCTTTATCCCTTTTTGGAGAATAACAAAAATTTTGCCCAAATCGAGAGCGATAAACTTGGAAAAACACGTGAATTTTACGAGGGGTCGCCCTTGCCGCCGTTACCACAATGCCATGTTCCCCGAATTTTACGAAAAACGAATGATAACGTTTTTTATTTTTCGAATGCTTACGTATCGTTCTAGTTCCATACTTGCGTATATTCCACGTACCAATTTTTCTCTCTAAAATCTACAAGGTGAGGTTTGTATAAGGTGTCAACCTTATACTATTGAAGTAAGCTGTATATCAAAACTATGCTGAAAATGTATTGATATGAATATTTATTGTTGCTTCCAATTATGAAACTTAAAGTTTAAAAAATGGTGACGATAGATCTACCAACGCTAAACAATATTGTAAATGATGGTCGATATAATGTGTTAGAATAACTATTTTCAGTACTAGAAATCTTTTTTTTTTATGTTTATGAATCTTGCGGTCGATTCTTGATTCGAGAGTCTTTGAGAATGAGCACAACCTTGTCTAGGAGGTTTTTTAGGTGCACCTTCCTCCTATAAGTTTATTATAACTGTATGTGAACCCGGCGGCCTTATAAAAGTGAGAAGAGCACCTGCAAAACCTACCGAATATGCTGTTTTGGTACATGAGATGATGAGACCTTTAATTGTTTGAAAATTTATTTTGGAGAAGTATTTGGTGTGGTGAGCATCAGAAGTCCACCCCATGCATGGATGCAAAAGAAAGGGGAGCCTACCAAAATTTAAATTTAAAGGTGAATAAATTGTAAAGAAAATACTTTTCAATTCTTTTTTTTTTTCTCTTTTTTTTTTCTCAAGATTCCCAATCTCATTGTTTCAACCGTGATTCAAAATTTGTTGATCTAGATAGGGATCCGTACAAATCCGTTCCTAGTCGAAACTAGAAAGTCTTCTGATTTTGTTGGAACTAGGCTAGACTATGGAAACTGAGCAATCCGGATCTATGAAACATCCTATTTCCTCCCATTTTTATTTTTTACTATTTGTCATTTTTATTATAAAAAAATATTTATTTATTTTTTGGACAAACTATCACACCAAAGAATCGACCCGGAACATATTTTATAATGTCGATTTTCATGACCAATTTGATTTTTGAAAAACTATATTTTTAGATGAGAGTTTCTTAAAGATTTTTGGATGAACATTTGTTATTGGTTGTTGTATAGCTATTTTTAGGTGGTGGAGTTATTGATCTCGCTGATAGAAATAACAAAAAGCAAGGCTTTTTGGTTTTTGGTGACCTCGAGGCCATTGGGAGCCTTTGCATGCATTTATTGCTCCAATTTAAGTGATCAATGTGAAAGAAATGGATAGGATCGCCCACGTGGAAATCCGGTCCACATAGGCAAATCGCAGCTAAGTGCATGAGCCAGTAAAAATAAAATAAAAATAAAAAATGATCTAAAATTTTGAAAAACAATAAAAAAGAAAAGTGGAGCTGGACCATGGGTTATGTCAAGACCCTAGCGATTCTTAACATATGGTGAAAACCAGATCAATTCTACCAATAACCAATTTGAATTGGGCGATTCCAATCCAGACAAGACATTTTTAATATTGAAAATCATGATAAGAGCCTAACTAACTGAGAGGGGGATGATGCCAATGTATTGATTAAACATTAAGGTATTGTTAATAACGAGCTCTCTACTAAGTTGTGTTTTTGGCCAGCCCCATTCAATAGCAAAACCCACAAACTAAAATATGATTTTTGGAGGGAAACCGTCGACCTCTTCAATAAAATGAAAATATTCAATTTTGGAGGAGTATTCGTTTGAGTTGGTTCACTCATCTGCTTGTTTTTTAGGGATTTAGGATTCGAAACACATTTCAGATTGGTGGAATACTATTTTCGCCTCAAATTTATAAATTTGGAGCTCTAAAAATACTGTAGATCTCATTATGATCTTTAAACAACTAAATTAAACGGTCTAATTAAAACTACAAAATACACCTATTTAAGGCTCGTAATAAATTTTGTTTTCCCATATATTCACAACCGCAGTGATCGAGTTGACATGACTGTGAACTTTTAGATCTAAAATCTATCCCCAAATTTGGTGGAGCACCAAAATCCTACCCATTAAGTTATGAATAAGTTGGCTAATTATATCACACAAAAACATGTCTGAAGGGCATACCAAGTAGCATACACGTTCATCTAACGTTGCCAGTTTCAAAAAACAAAAAAGTTGGATTAATTACGTCGCAGTAACACAGTAAAAGTTTGACGGAACGAAACATGTGTTTTACAAACCAAATAAATTTTATTTTTATTTATAATGACTCGGAATTTGATGATGATGAAATTCTAAACGTTATGGTGCGACACCAACCACTCCAACCATTTCTGCCTAGAACTTGTTCTCAAGACAAGCTAAACTCAGAGAAGAGTAATATAACGTATTGATAAAGACGATAACGCAATTGTACCATGATGTATATGCTAGAAAAGTTAGATAGCAACATCATCGTCATCCTCAAAGGCTTTTTTCAACTAATTGGGGTCGGCAAGTTACGCATGCTAACAATATATTTGATCCAAAATCTCTTGTAAAAAAACCGCACACAACCTTTATTGAGACTAAAAAAGCAATGGTGATGCCAAAGTTAGAGAAGCAATGGTGATGCCAAAGTTAGAGTTGAGGCCAAAAGAGGTGCATATGATATTCTCATTTTCAATTGGGAAAGGTTTATATGTTTCTCCTGCCGTAGAGAAGATATATATACTTTCAATTTACTTGCTAAAAGCAAATAGAACGACATGAGACAGTCAAATATTTGGATAGGCCGATTCAATGATATAGCAAGAGGATTTGGAAATAAGACATAGAGAAAAGATGAGGAAAGAAGAGCGTCTTTGTTTGATAATTTAGAATTTAAATAACAAATTAAACATAGGCATTTTGGTTAAATGGAGAGATTAGGAATGATTCCCAATTCTAGGCGGAAATCTGCTTAGCTAGCTTCCAAATTTGGTCTAATTTGACGATTCTCAATTTGGATAAGTGATTTTTTGTAAAAAAAAAATCATAAATATAGACTATATTAAAATTATATTTTAATAATTCATTTAAATTGCTAGTAGATCATCAATTCCGCACTACTTTATGAGTTGCAAATTGATGGATCTAAAGTAAAAATGCATCTAGAGTGATTTCAAATGTGTTTAAAATCTTAAATTCCTAATTGAGCTAGAATTTTGTAAAGGGAGAGCATTTTAATAGAACCCATTTAATATTTTTCCCTGCTGATAAAGCAAAATGTAGTTGTCAAAGTCAAGGAGACCAGCTCAAGGAGCACCGCAAACATTGAATGAACAAAGGTTATTTATTACTTGGAAGAAATGTTTTAAGTGTTTATATTAATTGTTCGATCTTATGTCTTCCTAGGTAAGATGGTAAAGGACGTTTTTTGTGAAGCGGAACACGTTGCATGTGGGTGCACTGTAATTAATTTATTCACATGGAGCAACAAATACTCCAAAACATAAATATAGTTAAAGAGACGTGAGGGCCATGGTTATCAAGACCCACGGAATTGTCCTTGGGACTTGTCGGATGGTCAATGCTCTGGGTATTATGGTCCCTAGTTAGCAAGTCGGAGAATAATAAAATATTGATACATAAATCGATTTTATTTCAAAAGTTCGAAAGAAAAAAATCAGGTAAAAAATCAAGATTGTCAAAAAATAAAAATGATACAATATAGGATTATGATTTGCGGCTATTGTATAGATATATTAGAGCCATTAAAGAATAATTTTATAGCCTTGCTACTGTCACTAGAGTAATACTTTTTTGTTGAAACTTTTAATAAATTTAACAACAATGCTTATTGTGTTGTCACAACACAAAACATATTATAGATTTATTGGGAGCATAAAATGAAACAACAACAACAATAATAAACGTAATAATTAATTAATAAATAACAAGAACTGTGAATCAATGTATATCATTATTTTTCAAAGAAAAATAAACAAAAAAATGCCTTCATTAGAGGATTCCAGTTAATTAAAAGAAAACACAAAGACCCAAATATATAAAATAGTAGTCCACCCAAAATACTTTGTTGTATATGCCAATAAAATATGAAATTAATTGAACTTCTCTGTGCATAAAAAAAGACAACAAACTGCGTATTTCGTATTGAATTCGTAGCTACCTCAATATTTAGTATCATTGAATCTCACTCTCTGTCTCTTGCTCTTTATAATGACGGTATGCGTTTTAAAAAAAAAAAAGATTTTTTTAAAACCAATAAACCTGAGAGAAAAAGGTTTTGAGATAGAGAGAAAAAATCCTGTTGAATTTGGGAGAGACGCATCGTTGAATTGGAGATAAAGACGCATCCACTTCCACCATGAAGGTGTCCCACTTTCCACCTTATAAAGAGGAGGGAGGCTAAATTTTTGACATGAGAGTGGTAACATTCGGGCACCAATATTTTGACGGAGAAAGGCAAACGTGCAAGTTAGTGCTTTTCTAAATTTTCCAAATTCAAGTCAAAACTGTTTTTTTTTTGGATTATGTTTTTTGGGTTATATTCAAATATTATGTAATTTATTTTGTGTTATCAAACATTTGGGAACTTCAAGATCTTGCAATATCTTAAAATATCTTAATATTGTGGGCCTATCAAACAGAGCTAAGCGTTCAAAACAAAAATAATATCCTAAGTTTTGAATTTGCTTCACTAGGAGATGATCTAAATGTACAATAAAATAAAATCAATTTTTTTCATTCCAAAATACTCATCCTGTGATTCTAATTGGATTTCTCAATTTCGTATAAAAACCCAAGGGGAATACGCTATATTGATATATACCCTTGCCGCGTGAGAGTATACAATACGACTTTGTACATTTTCTCTAAAAGTTTTAGATTTTTTTAAAAAACTTTGCGAAGCGTTTCACAATTTTGAATTTTACATCTAAATGTTAGAGATGTTCGTGACCTACTTATACCAAATACAAATAGCTTCATAACATACAATCTATTTGTAAAAGATAATCTCAATCTCGGGTTCAAAATTATTGAAATTCATCGAGGGTTGAATTTTTGGTTTGGGAAGGTATGCAGTATCCACGTGAACCTAGAGAATCATGGTCATGGCTGTTTAACAGCCCAGGTTTGGGCAGAGCAGCCCTGGTATGAGCCTCTCTTGGACTAGTGTCTTGCAGTCCTAGTTCAACCCAGGCCCGAAAATTCGGTTTCCAGCCCAATCCAATTTCATGATAGTTATGCTTCAGCCCCACCATGGCCCAAAAACACGGGCAAGGCCCATTGGAACCTATATAAATATGAAAAAGAATGTATTATATACTTTAAAAAGCTTTGAAGCTGGTTCGGCCATACGGTCCTAGCTTGGCCTGTGGGCATTAGCATGTGGCCCAGACCTACCCCAACGGAGTCTGGCCTGATAGTCCGAGGAACTAGCACTGGCCCATTAACACCCGCAAGACTTGGACTAATATGGACATAACCCGAGGCAAGCGGCACTTCAGGCCAATCTCTCCATCCATCACGTCCAATCGGCTAATGGACGGTTGAGACACCCATAACCATAGAGTCTTCATGGTCAATAGATCAACGCAGTACGTATTTTTTTTGAAAATTTCCCGAACTTTTGATAATGTTAACTCGTGAACTTTTCGAGCATCAACAGCATGCTCCCATGGGAGTACACTGTACACTAGCTCCTTTTTTATTTGAGGTTTTAACTTCCACTAAGAATAATTATTTTCTAACAAAACATATGGATGTTGAGTTTTCAACGCCTCCATATCGTCCTCTGAAATCTGGACTTTCTTTCACATTATTTCAAGCAACAAAAAAAAAAACATGGAAAAAGTTTATACAAAGCCAAGGCTCTAAACAATCAAATTAGAACCCACATCAAAATTTTTGCTACGAGAGGTTGTTTTGAACCCAAATATCCTCAAATTGATCATCTCGATATCAAGATGTGTGGACAGAAGAAAAAAAAAAGATTTCAAGTATTGTAAATAGTGCGTCTTTTCAATTTTTTTCAAGATTTTCAAGTTTCCATAGATATGCTCGATCTACACTGTTTTTTAAATTTTAAATTTTATAATTAAAAATAAAAATATATTTTAAGGCTATCACAAAGAGTTTTAACATTAAAACTACATTTCTTGATACTATTGGAAGGTATGCTTTACTTTGATTGCTTAGAGCTTTAGCTCTATTCAAACGACACCCAAAAATAACAATTTTTTGAGATCCCAAGAGGTTACACCTCCAAAATTTAGGAGACAGGCTTGGATCAAGTCGGTAGAAGCTAGGTTTTAATGGTCCAACTTCTCAAGTTGGATTCCTATGTAACATTGTCAAGAAAAAACTAGTTTTCGGTTAATAATTAGTTACCCACGGGATCAAATGGAACGTATACTCCTGCAGGAGCAGAGTATCTTTTCGCTTTTGCTTTTCGCAGGCGAAAACTTCACTCAAAATTCCGGATAACGTCCGAAATTTCGATCTGCATATCATTGCGCGCTGAAATTTCGTTCTCATATTGAAATCGAGAGAGATCGGGCCATGTGAGTTATTCGAGCTTCGAGGCCTACGAAAATGGCGACTTGGGAAGCTCTGGACGTGGATGATTCAGACCTTCAAACCTTATTTCGACCCAAAAATCAAGTCATGGACTCTTCTCAGATACCCAACTTCACTTCTCAAAGAGATCCAATTTTCTCTCTTTCAAGTTCCATGCCACCTCTCGTACCCTGCTCTAATTCAAACCAGTCCAGGATTCCATTATCTGAGAATTCCCAAATCACAAGAAATGAAGAGTTAGATGTTTTTTCTGAGAAAACTAGGGTCTCGCAGAGTTCAGTCAGGGTTTCGAGTGCAACTCCTGGACCCTCCTTTCAAGTTGCTTCTTTATTTGAAAATGAGCAGTGTGATAGAAATTCACAAAGCAATTTAAATGTTTCAGTCAAAGAAATTAGGGCTCCTCTGAGTTCAAGTGGGGTTTCTGGGCCGATTCATGGAAGTTACAGGATTGCTGCTTCTTTGTCCCAAAATGACCAATATCAGAGTAATTCACAGGACAATTTCGATGACCCTGTTGAAGAAATTAGGGTTTTTCGAGGTTCAAATAGGCTTTCTCGTCCAATTCCCGGACCAGCTGGGGCTATTCAATCGGCTATGCATGACAACAATTTTAGAAGTGATAATGTTTCTTTTACTGGTTCTCAATGTGGAAATGGGAGATCTTTAGGTATTTCTGTTGGAGATGATATTGATTTCCAGAGGAATTCTTGGCTATGTGCTATGGATTTTATCAGAAGAGAAAATGGGTGCACAGGTACGAACATTTATTCTTGGTGTTTTGGTGGAAAATTTCACTTCTGCTAGTATTCTTATGTTGTTGTCTTTTTCTTTTCTTTTTCTAATGTTCTCCTTTAATTGGATTCATCCATTCGTATGTGAATTGTAGTTCCATATGTTTTAGTCTTTTTCCTTTGTTAGTGTGTTGGAAATTTGGATTGTGGGTTTCTTATTCTTATAGTTTTATACAATATTATTTATTACGTGCTATCTGGTTCTTATCTTTGATAATGTGGAACGTATTTGGGATTTTCAGGGGTTGTGTTTTGGTTACTAATTTGCTCTGTAGTTCTTTTGGCTAAAAAATAGAGAAGAAGCAGTGGATTCTTATTTGAGATTGAATAGCTTTCTATTGTCACTTTACCTCTGAAATTTTTATAATGATTATTTGCTGATACATGATATTGTCATTGAAAATGTAGATCCTCAGGTATGGAGAGAAGGGATTCCATTGGGTTACCACAAGAGAGCTTAGAAATGATAGGAAATTCGTGTTTTCTTTGCCTGGTTGACAGGGTTGCAAGTTTGAAACATAGCTTCTTTTTTTCTCTTCTCATTTTACATTTCCCTTTGCCTAACTGTCTATGATGATTGCAATTGGACGATAGGAGAGATGATAAGGGATTCATATTCACTACTATGAGGTCATGATCAATGGCCCCATACCATTAGGATTTGGGGTGGGAAGATTACACAGTGTTGCTATACAAAAACTAAGGAATTGTTTCAGGTTTTCTTTTTGGTTAATTCTAAATATCAAATTATTGAGATCAGTAATTTTTGGGATACTGTTTTCCATTTGCTTTATTTTTGATAGTTAACGTGATGATAATTGTAATTTAGTAATTTATACTATTCCTTTTCATGAATTCCTTTAGGGATGGATGGATTTGATTTGAGGTCAACTATAAGCTCCATCGAGATGCGACGGAACATCGATCGTGTGCCCCAGGTAATTGAGCCCAAAACTATATTTTGCAGTCATCCTTTTCTTTCTTATGGGTGGATGGAGGAGCTATCCATGTAGTAGAGCATCTTTATTCTTTGAAATCTTGATTTTTACCGTTTCAACTTTGTGATTGGTGTTTAGGTTGTGGGTATCATCAAATCTTGCAAATCGAATGGCTTTGGGGATATGATTGTTACTCTAAAGGTAAGAGTTCACATATTTCAGACAATACAACCTGGAAACTCAAAATTTCTATGGTTTGACTGACGCATCAATGTTGAAAAGATAATTTCAGAAGAACTGATTTTATATCAGAAACTCCATTTCAGGATCCAACGGGGACAATAGTTGGTTGCATCCATCACAAAGTTCTTACAAACGATGAAGCCAGATGGGATATATCAGTTGGATCTGTTGTAATCCTCAACCAGGTTTTATATTGTCATGAATCTTGCATTATGTTATTTGTCTTAAATGTTATTTTTTATTTTTCTTTTTAATAATTAATCACATGTCTAAAGAATAATTTTTTTGCAATGTTCCCAGACCTAGCCATACTTGCCATCTTAAACTGGACGCTTGTGAAATGCTTTTGCATGCTTACTTTTTTCTGCCTTTCCCAATGTCAAACAAGTTGAGGATTGGCATTTGGCTCTTTTATTTCATTTGTGGAATAGGTTCCACTAAGTGCTTAAAGATAGTTCCTCTTCATCCATATCTATGGTTTTAGATGTGTTCAAAGTTCTACAATTCGTTTTTTTTTTTTGATAATGTAATCTTCTATGATATACATTATAAGATATGCTATCCCCCTCCGCGTGATAGATTGCTTCATTCTCTAGTACACACACACATATGGGCTAGGTCAGCTTGTTTGGGCTTTTTGCGACAGACTGCGAGTGTTTGAACCCATGACCTCCCTCACCCAAAATGATACGTCTCCAACTAAGCCGAAGCCTAAGAGACACTTTCTTCATTAACATACTCCTTTTAGACTCAAGAGTTACGGGTTAATGTAAGAGGTTGTAAAGATCTTGTGTTCATCAAAGGCCTTAAGGTTTGCCCTAAATAGAATCTTTGGAGGCCATTTGGTTCAGTAAAAGCGATCTTAACCTGCCTGCTTTGTTCCACCAAATATGGACCTATTGTTCAGATTGATACACTAGACCTCCCTAAATTTTTTTATAAGGATCATTACTATAGGCTTTCATCCCAATCAGAGCCAGGCCCATTGGAAGGTCTAAGATTTGGGTGGGGAAGCCATGATCTGCTGGTCCTAGCCCGGGCCTGGGCTTTTAGTGGGTTTGGGCTGCTTGGCCCATTGCCACCTTTACTCTCCTCTTTTTCATCCTGCTACCTCAAAAATGGATTTTTCTCTGTCTGCACCACACAACTTTTCCTCTTCTCCTCCGAAAGTATGATATGGACCTTACTGTCCAAAACTACATGAACCGACATGGATAACTTCCACATGAGACTACCTTCCCCATCATTCAAGTTTCCCCAAAACCTATTATGTTCCATCTCCAACCTGAGTCCTAACCCCTCTTGGATCCATATCTAAAAAGTAGTTTTGTTTGCATGCACCCACGAATTAACCTTCTATGCCCTTCAACCCTTGCACAATTTACCACCCCTCAACTTCTATTACATTTACCTATGGATGAAAAGCTTATCCTATGTTTCATGGATTCTTCTGTTTGGGTTCTGTACTTTTTTCGAAGCACAGATAGGCACTTTTTTTCGGATTTCTTCTTCTTTCTCATTGATATATATATATGGACTTATGAACTTTGAAAATCCACATTAATTCAAACAAGGCATAACTTATGTTTTGGCTACTCATCATGATATGGAATATTAGTAAACTATGCTGGGTTTTGTTGTCTCTTATAATATATCAGTGTTTCTGAATCTTGTTCTTCTTGACATGAGGAATTTGATACCTTGTACCTGTGCTGGGCACAGCTCGTCTAGGTCTCATCCTGCCTCCTTGCCCTAAAACACTTCTTATGAATGCTTGGTGTGAAATCTAGATTGTTCTTTATTTACATGTTATAGACTACGTAACCGATTATTTATGCATCAAGGCAACTTTTGCTGAACCTGGCCAACCTCTAGCATGAGCCAACATACTGTACACTTCTTTCTAAAGGATCATTTTTGCAGGTCGTGGTCTTCTCTCCTGCTCGAGCCACACATTATTTGAACATAACATTGAACAATGTGAAGAAGGTGTGTTTTATCATCTGTTGTTATCTTGATGCATGAATTTACTATAATTTGAATTTCTTCTTTACGTTTGACACATTAAACCATATTGAAGGGGTTCAGCCTCTTGGTTAGTGGTTGGGGACAATTAGTTTGGGTTTGAAACCAGTTTTACAAGGAGTAAAGAAAAAGTACAACCATTTGGATGTTTTCTTTTTGGATAGTTACTATTTCAAAAGTCTTTGGCTTAATTGGTTAGTTGTTGATTATAACAACACCAAGTCCAATTACCACCCCTGAACTACCCAAAAAAAAAAGTGGCAGGAATGCATCCTGAGCATAGTTATGATGCAAGTACCTGAAAGATAAGAGCCATTATTGTCATTTCTGAAATAATGCAAGCTACACAATCCTGCGAATTCAGTATGCCTATCTTTCTGAAACCCACTAATGTTTTCTTCTGAGTGGCGCACCCTTTCTAATTTTCTTTCCTCTTAACAAGAATTTTCAGAGAACAAACTGATATGGTTTTCGTGATAATAACTGATAGAGCACATTTTTGTTTTTCGTTTTTTTCTGTTCAATATCTCTTATAGTTAAGCATGATAATCAAGGTTTAAATACTATGCTTGGTCTGGGACTCAGGCCATGCTCGAGCTAAGTAACTCAAGCGAGTCCAAGTGGACTCACCTGAATTGTGTACTGGCATGAAAATTCCTTTAAAATAAAAGCAAGAAAAAAGAAAATAAAAATCCCAATAATTCCAAAAAAAATCAGAAAAAGCAGGAACTATATTTGGGGGAGGGATCATTTAAAGAGAGACTCTGCTGGGTAGAGAGAGAGAGATGAAAACGGGGGGTGAAACTTGCCTCGGCTCCTAGTGAGGCCGAATAACTGGGCCGAATTCTCGAATGCTGGTGAGATTTGATCCCTGAGATAAGCTATCCCCATTCCAAAAGGCCTAGGGTCCTGAATATTTTTTTTTTTTTTTCTCAGAATAAGAGGGAAGTTTTACTTGGGATAATATCTAAAATTCAATCGATGCAAATCGGGTTTGTGCTTCAACAGGTCTTCAGTAAAGAAAGTGAGCCACCTCCCAAACAAGCAGCTCCTGCCTATGCAGTCAGATGCACAACCTCAGGTAATACTTCCCAACCTTGACCTTCTATCTCTTCCTATCTTCCCCTCATTTTGTCACAATTTATTAAGAATTTCTGATAAAAAGGATAAGGTTCTTCTTTTAGCTTCACAAAAAAGTTTAGTCTGTTCTTGGCTTTAAATAATTTCCAGCTGCACCAGCTGTGCAAACCGTAGTAGCAGAGACGTCAAGAGAGATGAGAGACAAATCATGGACACCAAACCAAGGTCAAGTGAACAATCGAGCTGACCTTCACTGTCCAACCATGGAAACTGAAGCAACAGAGACTTCAAGAGTAAGGGGAGAGAATTTATGCACAGCAGGTCACAAGACTGATCAAGCTGAATGTCACTCTCCAAACCCCATCAAGTCTCCACAAAGAAGTCATGTAAATGCAGTCGAAGCCCCTAATCAGAGATGCACCTTTGCTAGGCTTGATAATACGATATCAGCCAGGACTGAGCATGGAGTGACTGGGAAGTCTGTAACAAACTTTTCAGTGGCAAATTGGACTGATGAGCAGATTGATGAGCTTCTGGCTGATTGTGAAGACATGTTATTTTGATCAATGTGATTACCTTTCATAGCTTTGATCATTTTTATGGCTTGATAAACCTTTCAAAAAATCCTTCTCATTTGCTTCCAAGGCGTTTAGTTATTTTTGGCACAAGAGCCACTGATTCCTCAAGAATTTAGGTTAATTCATGAGGATTTGATCGACCAGTGAAGAGGGGTAGATGTGGTTTCAGGGTGCATGTATTTGGCCACTGCCCTGCACTGCCCTGCCCACACAGGAATCATCTCGCTCTCTCAGAGTTCAAGAGTACGGCAGTGACCAAAACACTGATGCAATTTTTAAAATGTTAATATTACTAACAAATTGCACGTGCCATGCGCAATGCTCCTATTGAGAAATATACGAAAAGTTTATATAAGGGTGAGGCCCCCTTAACCGGCATACTTTAAAAATTCATTGGAATAAGTTGTTTTGATGTTGAGAAACCCCCAATTCAATCATCTCGACCTCTTTTCGAATATACTAAAAAGTTTATCTAAGGGTGAGGCTCTAAGCCATCCAATTAAGGCGCACCTCAAAAATTCATTGGATGAGGTTGTTTTGATGCTGAAAAAGTTTGAACTTGATCGTCTCGACCTCAAATTGTATAGACATGAGAAAGAATTGATTTCAAGTTTTGTAAATAGTACATCTTGTAATGTATTATCTAGACCGTTAATTTTCAAGTGTTCATAGATCTGTTTGATCTTTACTATTTTTAAATTTTTAAATTTTACAATTAGAGATGAAAATGAATTTTCAGGCCATAAAAACTATTTCTGATACTAAAATAATATAATTTGACACTATTTGAGAATGCGCCTTACTTTGATTGTTTAGCGCTTCAGCCTTGTACAAACCACACCCACTTTTAAATACTTAATCCACAAAGTAAATTTTATTTCTGTTTTTATTTTACTCAATATTATTTGTATGGTTCTTTAGATTTCTATGTAACCTTTTCTAATAGTATAAAGTTGTAACCTATATGAACTTTTTGTTCAAGATTTAAGGGATACAATCTCAATGAGAGAAAACCAGAGAGATTTTTAAAAAAATCTAGACAAAATATAAGGGTTAATATTAAAAGTATTCTTCTTTACACATGTTCTATTTTGTATTTTATACCTCAGGTAAAATGGTTGTTACCCTCTAACTGTAAACGTCAAATACATGCGCAAAAGTCTACGGAAATTTATCAAAATACACCGCAAATTTGAACCATTTGACTTTTTATCTTAGGCGCAATTTCAGAACCCATTATTATGCTATTAGAAATTTGACAAGAAAAATGACCTATGTGAAATTAGATAAAAAATATATGTAACATGTTAAATAATTCAAATCTAAAATGTAGTTTTATAAATTTCTCAAAATTGATTAGCAATTTCGTGAGATCGACTTCTGGCCATCCACCATCCATGCCCAGTGATGGCAGTAGAGATTAACTGTAATTCCAAATGACATTCGTGTACTTTTTGTTAGTCTCTACCATCCATTAATTGAACGGACCGTGATGCCCCACGGGACGGGATCTACCATATAGCGACAGTGCATGGTATGTTGTGACAGAGATAGAGAGAGAGTCGCATAATGGAAATAAAATAATTTATTAAATGACTATAAATAATCAAAATATCAAAATTTCATAAACTCACACTCCATCCATATACATATTTGCACATCATAAAAATTCATTTATTTTGAATACATGAATTTAAGCACAAATTTGGCCGTGGTATGTACACATGAGAGAAATTGCTCACATTTACATTTTCTATAGCTTCAAAACAATGACAACACCAACTCAGTATAAAGAATAAATGAAATAAATAAGAACAAATCTTAGCAAAAATTAATTATTTACAGCACGCAAGAACTGAACATGATGCATAACTTGTGTGCTCTTCTTCACCAAAAATCGAGAAAAAAAGAATCCATCAAGTCTTGTACAAATAGGGCAACTCTCCAAATCATATCATTTTTTGCATCCAAGATTCATGGCTTTGGAGCGTCCATCTTCTCATAATGATTAAGATTCAAGGCTTTGGAGCGTTTGCAGCTTCACATGCGTCCACCCATTCGCAATAACTACAAACACAAGCATTTTGCACACCAAAATTAGTAAGGCGACAAGAAGTCCACTACATTTGACATTAAACCTCAAAATACCAAGTGTTTCTTATTCCCCTCTCTCAAGTTTATATAAAGTTGAGACCTTAAAAATGTAAAACTACAGATGCACCTCAAAATCCATCAAAAGATGTTGTTTTAATGTTGAAAAGCCATCTAATTGATCATTTCGACATCGAGATATATGACTATGAAAAAAAAAAATTTATTTTAGTCCTATAAATAGTGCATCTTACAACACATTATCTAGACTGTCAATTTTCAAAATTTTCATATATTTATTGACCTACTTGATTTTAACTATTTTCGAAGTCTAAAATTTTATAATTAGATTTGAAAATAGATTTTGAGATAATCCTTAAGAATATTTTACATCAAAATTATTTGTTATCATAAAGTTTGAAGGTGCGCCTTAATTTGATTGTTTAAGGTTGCAACTATATGGAAACCGCACCCATATATATATATATATATATATATATCAACTGCAGAGAAATTGTGTAAGAATTCCGGGAGTGTGGCAACATTAGAGAGAATTGGGCAATCCATTCGTATTTTAGTTTCATTTACTATGTTTTCTGATAGCATTGGGCACTAGGCAGCTTTATCATTTCTTCGAGATCTAATTTTTACATTTCTTATTTTGATTCCAGTACATCTTATTTTGTTTTTGAAACTAACTGTAACAAAAAAAATTTAGTTAACCAACTTGATTGCATAACTTAAGGGTAATGAAGCCTAACATTAAACATATCAAATGGCTATGGAGTTCCAAAAGAAAAGAAAAGAAATGAACAGATGGTTAAAGCGACTTACATGTCAATGGGTTCCGTTAAAGCTGCAAAAACAGAGAAATAAGGAATTGGGTCAGAGTAATGCTTAAAGAAAAGGGACAAATAGCAGTTACCATATTTTGATTTTAGACAGCTACAAATACAAAAGTTCAACTTTTGTTAGAATTAAAGTGAAATAATTGAAAAGACGCGAAGATGGCCACTATATCGCAGAATGATAAGGGCGAGATAGGAAATATATTAGATTTGTAGAAATCTAAATTCAGTTCTATATTAGAGAGGTTTTTAGATATACCATGAATCTTGGTTGCATATCCCACTTCGCAAACCCTGCAAATAGCCTCCCCAATCTTTAGCTTTCGATCTCTGAAGAATAACATTATCCGTTAATACCCACCATAATAGGTAAGTCAGAATACTCATCCAGAGACATATATCAGTCCATTTGCAGGCTAGAAAAGAAAAAAGAAAACAAAAGACAGACACAACTAATGAAAATGAAAGAATAATAGTAATATGAAACTTTTGGGAGCGAAAAAGAAAGACTGTTAAACTCAATTGAAATAAGAATTCAAATTAAAAAATGCGACAAAGCATAATATTCTTTTGCTCATTTTCAGAGATACAAATGCAAAGGTCTCAAAAGAGACAGTACTCAGTACACGATAAAGCAGCGTGTTGGCCAATTTAAGATTAGAGCGAAGGTCTGCCCAACAAAGCTTATCATCTCTTTTAGCGGTGACATGTTCAGCACTTTAAAATGCAGCATCGATAGATACAAATGGACACCCAGAAAAAATATTATAGGGAAAATAAAGATTATTATCAGGAAAAGCTACTCACATTATGCAATCAACACTATCAGGATGGTTACAGAACGGGCAGCAAAATGTCGTATCAAGCTTGGGTAGCTTCTTCTTTGGAAGCACGGTCCTGGACTTCCTCTTCCCCATATTTCAAATACTCAGCTCAGACACTGGTTGAAATAATCAAATCACATATCATATCAATTGAACAATTATGTCAAGCAATCAATGATAGAAAATGCCAATTCCAAAAGAAAACAGAAAAAAAAAAGAACAAGGAAAAGAAACCAATTCATAAAGAGGAATCATGAAGAACTAATAGCAAGGGCATCCAAACTCTAAACTTAACCCTAATTACATAACAACAAAGTGCATAAAGGTATTTTAAAAAAAGAAGAAGAAGAAGCAAATACTGCATAGACTGATACAAATCATATTGCTAGGTATGGATTCTAATTGGTGCCCAATTTTGGTAAAAGGATGACTCATTGAACGCAATCTCTGGAGCATCCAATGAATCCAAATGCCAAAGGTGCTTGGAGAGATTCTTGGAGAAATTTTGAAGTACGTGAAATTTCTGAAGTTGGGTTTAGACATATTTGGAGAGAATCAAACAAGTTACGAGGACTTCCTGACAAGAGAAGGAATAAAAAATTCTTCGATAACAGTAAAAAGTGTGAATAATGTCCCATTACAGGACGTAAATGGTGTATATCTCAAACGACATTTATAGTTGTATATCTTTTATACTTATTAATGATCTTGCTGACAATGTAAAAATATGTATATTATATATGTGCGTGTATCCTTCGCTGTGGCTAAAAGAAATTTTCATTTTAAGAATTTTCAAAGCAACATCCTTCCCCATAGCATGAACTATTTCTAACCTCAAGAGAACTGCCCATGATGAAGAACACTTCAAAAACCATTTAGGAAACAAACTTTTAACTTTTCAGAAGCTGCAATTAAAGCCAATTTCTTAACAGAAGTTCTCTTCAGGTCAACCTGTAGTAACCTTTTGTATCATCCTTAGAATATAGAGAATCATAGATATAAACTCAGGTTAAAAAAATTTATTGTTTAAGAAGTTCGCTATTACTTAGAGTATATGTTGTATCTGTAACTCTTAGCTTAATACTTCAGAACTGAAGCTTGATCATCATAAGAGATAAAAAGCTCCTAATCCATGATCTTGTAACTCTCCCACCATTACTAATCAAATCAAATCAAATCTAATTGACTGTATGCATATAAAATCTTTAAATTCCTCAAAACAAGGTTTCACTGTCCAAATTGATTTTCTGGCTAATTACGAAAATGGAAGCTTCTTGTGCAAGTTGGCAAGTGAGAGAAGAAGCAATGTTTCAGGGTCCTAGAAAGCAATTTCTAAGTTCTAACCATCATATGAATCAATTCATGACCCCAAACTTGCATGACCAAGTAAGATTTCTCAAAAGATTTCAAGCAAATGATATCATACCTTACAGGGACTGAAGGGAACAGTTTTCTAAAACCTGATCAAGATTAATGCGTAGATAATGGATGCATGTAAGTATATCCTTAAACCCTAGAAACCTCAGAACTGTAAACCCTATAGTAGTACATGGAAAAGCTTACAAAGTTATAATCAAAGCCTTGAACGCCTACCATATACCACAATTCCAGTCAAATTATGTCCAAATCAAATCCTAAACAAGAGAGAGTGAAATATACAAATCTTAATTCCTAATCGTAGAAATCTAAGCCACATATCACATCTTGTGAATACAAAGAGAGAGAAGAAAAACTATACATGGAGAAACCAAACTATTGCATACAGAGGATACAGATAACAGAGGAGGAAATCTCTCAGGTTTTGAAAAGATTAGAGAGAGAAAGAGGGCTCATCTGAGTAGAGAAACCCAACCTGATGTTGTGGTTTTACAGAACTTTAGAGAGCAAAGACTCTATCGCACAAAGAGAAAAGTTACCTGGTTTCCAAAACGCAGAGCAAGAAAGCGATATAGCAGAGCAAACTTATTCTCCAAAACTCAGAGCACTGAGAGCGCGTCTTCTCCAAAACGCAAAGCAAGAGAGCGATATAGCAGAGCAAACTTATTCTCCAAAACGCAGAGCAAACTTATTCTCCAAAACGCAGAGCAAGAGAGCGATAGAGAGGAGGTAGAAAGATTAGTTTAAAAAGAATCTTAATCCCGAAACTTTATAGTGTCCTAATGTATATCAGAATCAAGAACATCCCAACGATTTATACGCAGATTAGTTTGAAAAGAATCTTAATCCCGAAATTTTAGAGTGTCCTAATGTTTATCAGAATATATCAAGAAAATCCCAACGATTTATACGCAGATTAGTTTAAAAAGAATCTTAATCCCGAAATTTTATAGAGTCCTAATGTTTATCAGAATCAAGAACATCCCAACGATTTATACGCAGATTAGTTTAAAAAGAATCTTAATCCCGAAATTTTATAGTGTCCTAATGTTTATCAGAATCAAGAAAATCCCAACGATTTATACGCAGATTAGTTTAAAAAGAATCTTAATCCCGAAATTTTATAGTGTCCTAATGTTTATTAGAATCAAGAAAATCCCAACGATTTATACGCAGATTAGTTTAAAAAGAATCTTAATCACGAAATTTTATAGTGTTCTAATGTTTATCAGAATATATCAAGAAAATCCCAACGATTTATACGCAGATTAGTTTGAAAAGAATCTTAATCCCGAAATTTTATAGTGTCCTAATGTATATCAGAATATATCAAGAAAATCCCAACGATTTATACGCTTCAATCGGGTGTTTAATTCTTTCAATTTGAATCCTATATCTTGTTGCCGCGTAAAGTTCGTTTTAATAGATTTTGGATAAAATAAAAGAATATGGTTTGATAGGGCTGCAGCCCTATAAAAATAAGTAAAGCTCCACCTTATAACTCATCAAATAATATTAAAGGAAAACCTTTACGTCTTACATCTCGGCTTGGCTTGAACATTTATGGTTGTGAAATAAAATTAGGATTTCAAGCTTTATAATTAGTGTATATTGTAAAACTCATCAAATATTATTTAAAAGAAAAGCTTTATGTCGATCATCTCTGCTTGAATATTTATGGTTGTGAAATAAAATTAGGATTTCAAGCGTATATATTGTAAACAATTATCTAGACCACATGTTTCGTTTTAAAATTAATTATTCAAGATTTGTACTATTTTTTGAGTTTCAAATTTTATTGTTAGTGTTAGAAATTTTATTTTCAAGTTATCCTGGAGCTTTTCATCATGTAAAGTGCGAATATTTGAAATGAGGCTTTATTTTGTTTATATAGAGCCTAGGCCTTATAAAAACTTCATTTTTGGATAAAACGCAAAGATCGCTTGGATGTTAGAAAATCTTGTCATTTGACCTCCTCGTCATGGATATGTTAGAGAAAATTTTGGGTATATGCCCATTTAAAATTTCGAAGTAATTTAAGATTAAAAAATAGTATAGAAATTTGACGGTCTAGATATTATTTATAGGATGCACTATTCTAATATTTGAAATCTATATTTTCTCATGTCTATATAGTTATAGTTTGAGGTGGAGATTATCAAATTGAGGGTTTTTCAACATCAAAACAATCTCTTCTAGTGAACTTTTGAAGTGCGTCTCGATTTGATTGTTTAAGGCCTCACCCTTATATAAACTTTTTTACTTAAAAGTTTGAACTATATAAATTTATGTTTTTTTGGGTAAGTTATATAAGTAGTTCACTTAACATATTATCTAGATAGAACGTCTATTTTTAAGATTTTTCAATGTGTATAGACATATTAGATTTGTACTATAATTGGAACTTCAAAAAAGCTTATGTAAGGTTGACACCTTAAATTGTACAAATAAGGTACACGTCAAAAACTATGTTAGAAAAGGATATTTTTTTGGGTAGATCAGTGGGGAATACTGACCCCTACCTATTTTTAGAAATAATTAATGGTTTTCAAATGCGTTAGTAGGAATGGAAACCTAGACCGGAAGTTGAGGTTTAAGTGGTGTTGCCACCACGACCTCAACCCCATTCTTTAAAAAATGCTATTTTGACATTAGAAAATTATCTAATTGATCATCTCAATATCTAGATACATGGATTTGGAAAAAGAAAAAGAAAAAAATTCCCAAAAATAGTACATCTTACAATACATTATCTTGATCGTCCATTTTCAAAAAAATTTGTGCGTTTATAGATTTGCATGATATGAACTCTAGTAAGTTTAGAATTTTATTACTGGAGATGAAAATAGATTCTCGGAACATCCAATAAAATTTCGACAACAAAACTGCATCTTATTACAAAGTTAGGAGGTGCGCCTTACTTGGAATGTTTAAGGTTGCATCTTTTCTTACGTAAATCTCATCCTTGGGACTTTAAATTTTATAACAAAATTTTTTATATAAAGTTGCAAACTTATACTATTGAAGTAAGGTACCCCTAAAAAATCTAGTAGAAAAAGTATTATGAAGTAAACCTTCTAATTGATCATCGAGACGTATGGATATAAAAAAAAAAACAAAAGAATTTCAAGCTTTAAAAGTAATGCATCTAGTAATAAATTATCTAGACCGTCTATGTTTAATAATTTCAATTGTTTATAGATCTACTTAATGTGTGCTATTTTAGAATAATTAATTTTATAATAGCATTGAACATAGACTTTTAAGTTATTATAAAGTTTCTGACACCGAAACTACATCTTCTCGTAAAATTTAGAGACATACCTACCTTTCTTATATAGTATAAGTTGGCGCCTTATACAAAACTCACCCTTTTTTAAATGAGGAAAATAAATGTTCGAGCTTCCAGCATTCTTCAGACAGTGTTTGCAAGTGTACATTACTTCGATTTTTTTAAGGTTCACACTTTGTAGAAATTGCACCGTTTTAGAAAAGGTGGGAGAGAGGAGGGGAGGCAGGGGTTTATTTTCGATAGTTTATGTGGTGTTTGGATGTCACTTCATATTATGGCTTAGATAGCCAAATCACAAAGAAAACAAATATAATTTACCATCTAGGGTGGTTTTTGTGGGTCGCCTTAGCCAACCTAGTATCCATCTTAGAAATAAAAAAGTTTTGAGTTTTAAATATGAATTATTTGAAATTTATTTTGGGGTTATTTAGGAGGTTTATTTTAGTTCATCTGATATATAATTTAAAGTTAAATTTGTGATGGACGAGATTAAGAAATTTTTAGATCCATTGTCTAGGGTAAAAAACTATACCCGGTCCTCTAACCCCACATTAGGATGCCACCTAATTCAAGGAGCACTCTTAATCCATTCAATGCAGGACCACACAAAAAGAAATAAATTGAAAGGGAACTTGAATTTAGAAAGATTGGAAATTTTGAATTACGAAAATTTCGGTAAATTGCCGTATGGTCGAAACTGTAGTTCAAGTTTCCCATATAGTTTTGATAAAAAAGTAACACATGGGCAAATATATTTGCAAGTTAGAGTTGGAGTTGTTCATAGGGAAAAAGGTTTCTTTCGCAGATGTGTTGAACATGGAACTTTTCCAGAAACTGTAGGGAGAGATGGAGCTGTTTGTGCTATTTTTTTGTGGAAAATTTATATAAAATTCTATTTTGTATTTTGTGCTCAAAGTCCCACTTCTAATTGTATGTTTCTATTTTATGGATGCAGTTTCTATAAGGCTTAGAAGTTATGAAGAAAAGTACATCCTAACCACTAATTCTGGCCTGGAAAACACTTTGGGCATGAGAAATCCTTAAAACGGCTCCAAAATCTATTTCCACCCGAATTATAAAATTTGTAGCTGACAAAAAAGGTACAGATACGTGAACACTTAAAAATTGACTGCCTAGATAACGCATTACAATATGCAATGTCTTTAGGGCTTGAAGTCTTAATATTTTTTTACAATCATAATGATCAAGGTCGAGATGATTGATTTGAAGGCTCCCTTTTGCTCGAAAGATAGTTTTGGGTACGGTCCAGAGGTGAGCCTTTACCTATTTCTATTAGGAAAGGGTTTATATAGAGCCGAAGCTCTAAACAAACAATTTAGAGCCCACCTCAAAAATTTCACTAGAAGTGGTTGTTTTGATGCCCAAATATCTTCAAATTGGTCATCTCCACATCAAGATGCATAGACTTGAGAAAAAAATCGATAACAAGTTTTGAACATAGTGCATCTTGTTACCCAATTTTGAACCGTCAATTTTCAAGTTTTTCAAGTTTTCATTGATTTGCTCCATCTACATTATTTTTTAAACTATAAATTTTAAGATTAAAGAAGAAAGTATATTTTAAAGCCATCACAAAGATTCAGTATTGAAACCACATTTCTCGACACTACTTCAAGGGCCTCAACTCCATCACAAAGTTCTTACAAACGATGAAGCCACATGGGATATATCAGTTGGATCTGTTGTAATCCTCAACCAGGTTTTATATTGTCATTATGTTATTTGTCTTAAATGTTATTTTTTAATTTTCTTTTTAATAATTAATCACATGTCTAAAGAATAATACTTGCCATCTTAAACTGGATGCTCGTGAAATGCTTTTGAATGCTTACTTTTTTCTGCCTTTCCCAATGCCAAACAAGTTGAGGATTGGCATTTGGCTCTTTTATTTCATTTGTGGAATAGGTTCCACTAAGTGCTTAAAGATAGTTCCTCTTCATCCATATCTATGGCTTTAGATGTGTTCAAAGTTCTACAATTCGTTTTTTTTTTTTTTGTATAATGTAATATTCTATGAAATGCTGTATAAGATATGCTATCCCCCTCCGCGTGATAGATTGCTTCATTCTTTAGTACACACACACATATGAGGCTAGGTCACTGCAAGTGTTTGAACCCTTGACCTCCCTCACCCAAAATGATACGTCTCCAACTAAGCCGAAGCCTAAGAGACACTTTCTTCATTAACATACTCCTTTTAGACTCAAGAGTTACGGGTTAATGTAAGAGGATGTAAAGATATTGTGTTCATCAAAGGCCTTAAGGTTTGCTCTAGATAGAATCTTTGGAGGCCATTTTGTTTGCCTGCTTTGTTCCACCAAATATGGACCGATTGTTCAGATTGATACACTAGACCTCCCTAAATTTTTTTATAAGGAGCATTACTATAGGCTTTCATCCCAATCTGA